TCATCCCTCATTCTGAGCAAGGATGTGGCAACAGCTGAGAGAAAAAAAAAATTTTAGCAGGAAGAAACCTCAACAAAGAACCTCTAAAGGTATGAGCATCCATCTACTCAACTGGCTCAGGGTTAAGAGGAGAGGGAGGAGATATAAAAACAATAAACACAGAAAACTAAGCTATTTATACTTTCTACAGAAAAGACAAAAATCCAAGGATGCAATGGCAGCAAACGTTTAGAAACCAAGCCAAACACAGAGGGCTGCAGCCAGAGGTACTTTCTACAGCGCAGGAAAGTGAACGAGTCTTCATTAAATCATTGGACGGCTCATTGGCAGACAGCAGCTGTTTCTAGCTTTAGGTCACAGTAAATGCCAATCCTTCAATAATAAGAAAGCCCATAATAACCTGAAGCACATTATTTTGCCATTAACAGGATTCTGAAGAACTTTACTGCAGTTTGAGGAGGTAAGTCAGCCTTTGATTCAGATGTGGAAGCAGAGAGACTTCTTAAAGGTGTAGGGTACCAGACCTCGAGACCCAGATTTGACAAACCCAGCTTTAGGACAAGATTTCCTAAACTAGTAAAGTGAGCTGCAACTGTAACTAAATCAACATTACACTAAAGAGAAAAGATTTTTAGGCGGTAATTAGAAAAATAAGTTAATATCCCCTTAGATAGCATGTTGAAGTAGCCTACAGATAAGCCAAATCTTAAAGCCTTTTTCGTGGAGGTTTTTTAAAACAATGTTTTATATGTGGACATGTGTTAATACATGACATTTAAATGTAAATCCCGAATCTTCATTTTTCTTTTTCTACCCAGCACTACAGGTCTGTTTCATTTACCTGCCATGGGTCTGGCTCCTTCACCACTAAATCATCCCACTCTTTTCAGGTGCAATTCAGTATTTGTAATCAGGGCTGCAACTATGCTTTCTAAAGGGCATACAGAAACATTCCAGCCCCTCAGCCGTGGCAGATTTTGTTTTATGTTTTTGTCAATAAATCTTATTTATTTATGGATTAATAAAATACAGGACTTTTATTAGATTTCCTTTACACAGCGGCTCTCTGTTCCTTTCTTTCATCTGCACCTCTCTGTCCCACATTTTCCTCAGTGCAGACTAATTTGCTGTTTGCCTGTAATAATTTCCCCAAAAGGATGCAATTAACATAATGAGTACCATTGTTGTATTATTTTATGGAGTTCTTGGGTCGTAGTGCTAAAGCTGCAGAAAGCATACCAGACAACGACAAGAAGCAGATCTTAAACTAGGGCTTTGTTTTCAGGTCTTTTAGAATCTTTGAATCATCAGAAACACAGAAGCTTGTGTTTTCTGACACAGAAGCATGAACCAGTAAACCATTACTTGGTTATTAAACCAACTTTATACCTCATGTTTATAAAACACATCCAACAGCCTTGGTGAATCCCCCTAGAAGAAGAAAATAGAGTGGAGGATTGTGTTGGAAACCACTACAGAGAACAGGATGCTTCCGTGGGAGAGATGGGAGGACAGGAGAACAGACTTTCTTTTAATCCATCGTCTTTCTTACCTTATCATTTTGGGAAATTACTTTTTAATTATATAGTTTTAAAGTCCTGAGAGAAATGTTTAATTAGTCCAACAAGTTCAAACTGAGTAGATGGTACTTAAATGCTTCTTTCTTTTTAAGATCAGGTGTTGGGACCTGACATTTTCTGAATTGCAGTATTCTTTTATGGACATCTTTTAGAGCGGAAATGGTGCAGTGTTGTTCTAGGGTGGGCGGAGGAAAAACCAGAGGCACATGTCTGGCTGCAAGTCCCCACAGGTTCTAAATCACCTTTTTTTCCTTCTTGAAGATGAATAAATTAACTTACCTTTGTTTTGTTTTGTTTTTTCTTGACTGAAAATTAAGAGTTTGTCTGGAGCTGTTATTTTTAAACATCATAAAAGCTGAATCTGTACTTAATTCACAGCGTTTTACATGAAGAGGAAAGAAACTTCCATTTTGATGTTTAAAATAATATTGCTGAGCTGGGGGGAAATTATGATGCTGCTGCAAGTGCAGATTCACCATCATGGATCACAAAGTTATCCAAGGGAAGTCAAAAGCTGACATCTGATCCAGGTTTTAAATGATAAGCTGAGGTAAAAAAAAACAAAGAGGTTAAATAGGTTTCGACAAACATCCACAATAAAGCACAAGGTGGAACATTCTTTGGCTAACCATTGTTGTTTCACAGATGAGACTTAAGGTTTGCCGGATTATAAGCTATATTTTTCCGAAGCCTTAGATATACCTAAACTAACACGGAAAAGGTTTAATTCCAACTTCAGCGTTGCTACTGGCTACTACCTGATACTGATACCTGATACCTGG